GCATGTCTCTCTTCTCAATGTAGTGTAGTGATATGTAATATTATGACCTTTGGTCTACACTCACGAGGAAGCTTCCACGATCCACCACCCCAGCAGCTAAGTACTGGGAAGTGGCAAGGATCCCCACACTCCACTCAAAGAAGAGAGGCATAAAAGGCAGCGGAGAGTCTGGAGGAATGTTACACCAGAGAAGATGCAATGGATGACCACGAAACTCTATATATTGAAAAGCATATCACTCCTGATTTATTCAATTGAAGGAATGGCAGGGATGGGCAGCAATCCCCTTCTGCTTTACTCATGATAGTCCATGAGTGACAGTCCACCAATATGTAACAAAATACGACATACAGAAAAACAGCTGACCAGGCATGAGGAGAAATAAGGGGGCAACTGATGTTGGGAAGTGAAGAAAAGGCTTAAGAGAACTCAAAACAGGGTAGGGGAAAACAAAAACTACTTCATATTGAAAAACCAACCCACGTTATCTACTTCCTCTAGGAGCAAACTGGAGTGTTCTGAAGACACCAAACAGGAAGGAGTCTTAATCCAGTCATTCTGAGAAATAAGAAACCAGTGACCAACACTTTTAGATGTCCAGCAAAGATCATGATCACTCACTAAAACACATAAAGGAATCAAGGCAAGTCTATACAGAAGAGCCTGGAACATCAAGAATATTGAGTCCAGGAAAATAGCATTAAGTTAAAGACAATTAAGATTGGCAGCAAAATGTGGAGGGAAAGTTCAGGACAGGTCAACAAACCCAAAATCATGAAATGGATATATATATAAGCAGAGACCAACACTGATCATAGCAATGAATGGTTCAGTGAGGACAGACATCACTATATGGGCAAGAGCCATATTGAGAAATGGACATCTAGTGTATGAATGGTGAGCAGCAAAAATTGGGCAATCCAGTGCATTCAGAGCAGAATACGTGGTACTCCAAGCCTCATTGCAAGATTGAAAACAGCTTTTGTCTCAAGAACACAGGTAAAACCCGTGACAGATTTGAAGGCTCATCTGATAATGACATATATTCCAGGAACCCAAGGCATGTTGTTCAACAAGAGAGTGGACTACCTAACTGGTAAGATTTCCATAAGGTGTTGTCATTGAAATTACATGTAAACTGAAAGAACAGGAAAAGATGGAACAGAGGACACATTAGTCAACTGTGGGAAAGAGGGTGGAAGTGGATTGAGTGTGGAACTATGTGGAAAGGACAGATGCTACTTAAATCAAACTGAATTGGACATTATTACTATAAGAACCTTAACGAGATTAATGGAAAGAGGACAGTTTGTGTCACTGCTGTTGTCAAATCTTCAAGCATATAATTGTACAAAAAGTAATATTATTAAAATCATGTAACTTACATTGGATACATGGAGAATAAAAAGATAACAATAACATAAAGGTAAAGGTGGCTGGGGTTTGGAATCAAGAATAGTGCTACTCTACCTGGACTGCAGAGTGATAATCATGCTGTGCCAAGACTCCACAACTGGAGAGAAGAGAGCCTGTGCTTTAGCCAGTGATAAACTCATCCAGTTTAAGGAAAAAAAAAAAAAATATGTCCACGAAGGTAGTGGCAGATTAGTAGCCAAAACATAAAGTAAAACTATCTAGTAATTAAAAACATATTACTAACCATTTAATAATTAGACTTACATGATTGTATAAAATACTAACCATGCCAAAGATTGATATTGGGTTCCTACAACTCTACTGTAAGTTCTATCAGTGGGTTGTTTCTTTGTTACCTACTTGCATCACAAAACTCATATTTATTTTGATTCTTTGGCAAACAATATGGAAGAACAACCTATTAAATAAAAGGAATAATTTCGTTCCTCCTTAACATTTTATGGTAAGATTTGACCAGAAAAACTTTCAGAACCCATGAAAATGAACTCTGAAATTGAAATATACATTAACTAATTATTAGTTTTATAAAAAAAATAGAAGCACTGATTTACAATAAGTAAGAATACATCCTATTTAATCTTACTTTTTTTATGTTAATTAGATCTCACAGAATACATAAATATCTAACATTAAATTGAAAAAAATAAAGGAAATGAAACACACCCTTCTAATCTCCACATCTCTTACATAATCACTATATGCTGCTGCAGCCTGTTCTTCTTCCCCAAGTTTATCATATAACCTATAGTTAATGAAAAAGATATTTATCTCTGTGTAATAATGCTCATAAAAAGTTGCATATGAATAATGTAGATTCTACCAACTCAACACTTACACAAACTTACTTTTAAGTTATTAAGTACCCTACAAACATAACTATTTTGTATTAAAAGCCTAGAAAACATTATAATGTTTAGTATATACTTTCAAGTTCAAATAGAATTAGCACAATGGCAAAGTTGTTAAGAGCATTTCAAAATACAATGAATTAAAAATCAATAAGATTAGTGATTCATTCATCCAGCTTAAAGTTGTTAATAGCCACTTGTATTTTCATACTGAATTAAAAGCTATAAAATTATATTGGAACTAACTTTTAAAAATTCTAATTAGCAAATGCATTTATAAGTTCAGAATATTGAAAACTTTTATGCACTAGAAGCATAAAGTGGTTCTGAGTGGATTTACCAACACCTAATTACCATATTACTTAATAACTACCAAAAAGATTTTCAAAACTAAATTCATACTTAAACTTACTTTACATTATTAGTATTATTCATGCTTTAATTTCCCTATAATGGTATTATTTCCTATGCATCACCTTATAATTTTCTCTATTTCCTACCACCTTTTGCCATTATTTTATTTTTAATTTTATCTTTATGAAAATTGGTTAACATTTCTTATAACTATTATCATACTTTTATGTACTGTACACACCTCTTTGGCACAAGCTAAACCTGACACCAACTACTCTAAGTTACGATTGGCTAGTTCTCAAGGTTTACATGACATCTGTACCTATATATTTCATTACAATCATTAAACACAACCCTTTATTGCAGAACTGCAGAAGAATAGTGAACTATTCAAAATTGCTCAACTTTTGGGTTTCATTTGAAAACCATAACAACTTTTGTATGTGATTCTGTGTGCTAACTTCTTAATCAGAATATCAATAATCTGTTAAGGAATGACTTCTGGAATAATAACCATACATGTGAGTTGATAAATATCAGTGAACATTGCAATTTCTTAAAGAGTACAACAAATAACTTTTGTAAGTAAATAAAGAAATCTGTTTAATTAATTTTTAAAACAGTTTAAGACTGAATAAATCATAGTGAATTTTGAGTATTTATGGACTGTGTCTGCCCAAAGTGTAGGACTACATGATCTTTTAGTTTCTATTCTGAGGAAATTATCAGGAAACTAGGGAAAAAATAGTACAATTTCATCGACAATCATGTGAAACTCTCGAAACAGAAACTAATACATCATCCACTACAAGGCTCTAGACAGACAAAGTCCATAAATACTTAAATTCAGTACATTTTCTGTAAATAAACAAATGCTACAGCAACTAACTCCAGTACTTCAGTTTATAATAAACAACAATAAATCTGTCAGTAAGATAATATCTACAATAACACATTTGTTTCATTAGAAACTATTAAAAGTTCCAGAACCCAGTGAGGCCAGATCTTACTGAATGGGTAGGAGCTGTGTGGAGACATGGACATAAAGTGCATGAATGTTCAGCAGTCAAAACAGGGCAATCCAGTTCATTCAGAGCAGAATATGTGGCATTTCTTTGGTTGACTAGTAACAGTGAAAGTCATGACACACACTGAATTGGGCATTAATACTAGAAGAACCTTGAGGAGATTAATGGAAGGAGAACAGTCTGTGCCACTGCTGTTGTCAAAATCTTCAAGCAGGTAATAGTATTAAAATCATGATATTTACATTGAATACCTGGAGTTAAATAAAAAGATACACAATAACTAACAATAACGTAAAAGGTAAAAGTGGTTGTGGTGTGGAATTTAACATTTTCCTACACTGAAAATGTATTTCTGTAAGATACTTACCTCTGCACTATATATGTGTAATTTTTGCTTGCCATTAGCCTTGAGGCTCCCACCTAACATCATGTGTTTACACATGGTATAGCTGCACTATAGCATAAAAATGACCATGTGATAACACTCCATCAATAGGAGTACGACACACTCTCCTAGCACAGCTGACTCCCTCTACACTATAGAGTACAATCATTATTTTGAGATTAGGCAAAAAGAGATGCACTGGAAGTGGGGAGGATGGGTGGGAAGTGTGAGAAGAGGTATCTATTGGAAATACATTTTTAGTGTAGGAAAATGTCAACTTCCGATACAATACCTTACCTCAGCTTACATAACAGCTAGAATCCCACACTGAAAAGGTAGAGGGACTGGTGTACTAGTTATCTAGATGAGCACTCATTAGAAGGTGCTAGAAGAGAACCCATAGAGTGAGATACCATAACGTATAAGGTTCAAGATGTTAGAAAAAACATGTAGGTTCAAGAAGTCTTCATAGAAACGAGCACTTTCGAAAGGTGAACCTGTCTTCTTCAGTTTATAGGGTTTTTATTCATTTCTATCATAATGTATAAGGTCTCACTCACAAGAGACTGCACCCCATTTGCACCAGGTATACTCTTTGCCTGTTGGGCAGAAAAGATGCCATTCTAATCAGTAATAGAATGTGCTAGATGGTGTAGAGTGGTTAAGGTGCATAAGACCATAATTGGTAGGTAAACTCCAGTCCAAAACCAGGCAGTATCAGGTATTTGTCTTTCAGTTTGCAGTAGAAGGAGGTCCCCAACCATATTCACCTCAAGCTCAGGAAGCAGAAAGGAAAAGCAATTTCCATTCCAACAATCCAGGCCACCCAGGAACCCAATATCTAGGCAACAGTAGGAAGGGGAATGCAAATGTGGTGGGTAAACTCCAAAATCAGGTGGCATCAGGAATTTTTCGTCCAGTCTGCAGAAGGACCTATGTTGGCTGGTCCTATACCAATCCAATACCAGACTGCTTGGGAACTGACATCCAAGCAGCAGTAGGATTGGGGAAAGTCAGCCAGAAGAGTGACTTGCATGTGGTGGATTCATCCATTCCAAAACCAGGCGATATCAAGAAATTGTCTTCCAGTCTGCAGTACAAGGAGAGTACTCACCAGCTACACTACCCACTAGCCAGTAAGGAGTTATCAAGAGGACTTAACATGGAGTGTCCAGAATGAGGAAAAACACAAGGGAGAAAAAAGTTGGACCAGTCCTGCTGGAATGTGTCTCCAGCTAAAGCTGAGGGAAGAAGAAGAAGAACAAGAGAACAGAAAAGGGGGAAGTAGGATATCGAGAAGAGTGGCAAAAAACACTAAGAAGAAGAGTGTTCAGATGAGAGCACAGTAACTTGAACACCAGAAGGACAATCTGTAGGTAGTATCTTGGCAGGCCTCAAGAGATGATCCACAACAAGATACAAGGCACCTGGATGAGAACAAGCTATCAGATGTAGTCATATAGAATGGGATAAAAAAGGAGGTTGATAGTGAGGCAACAGGAAGAGCAAGTTGAACTGTCTCCTTGGCAGTTGATAAAGGAGACAACTACAGAGTTGAATGTATGTGTCATCAAGAGACATCTATGAAACATCCTAAAAAAATCCAAAATCTGATGTACCACCAGAAGTTCTAAGATATCGACTTGAAGGGATGATATGTTGTGGTACCAACAACCTGAATTCATGTGAGAATCGAGACATGTCCTCATCTCATCAAGGTGGCATCTGGAAACAGGAGACCTGGACAAGAGGAAGAGGAACACCCAGTTGAAGCCTTTGAGTAAAGAAAGAGGAAGAAGAATGGTTGAGGACAAGGGATCCTAAGCAAGGATCCAGAGAATGTGCTGTCCATTGTAGACATTGCAAATCTGCACAACTCAAAGGGATAATGGATTCCATGGAAGTTCAACTCCCCAAAAGAGAGAGAGCCTCCCACACAGTAAGGGAAGGAGAAGATATAGCATGGGAAACCAATCATTCTATGTCCCTCAAAAGAAAAGTAGAAGGCTGGGCCCTGCAGGTATACAAAAGACAAAACACCCAAATGAATGAGAAATGAAATGGGTGTGAGATGTGATTCCTCTAAGATGAACCAACCAACCCAGACTCACTGCTTCCTAAAGGAAAAGATGGTGGCTGTAGAGTGCTTGTTGGGAAAGATTCAAACGAGAAAAGAAGCACCTATGATGTCCACCTCCATCATCCCAAGACCTGGGGGAAAGACCACTGTAGTGTGAGAAATTCCCCATGAGAAAGCAAGGGAAAATGAGAAATGACTGAGACCTGAAATGTTTAAGACTCAACATCTATTTACAAATTCCCTGGGAAACATGAAAAGACAGGAAGAAAACCTAGAAAAGGATGTGAAACTTATCCAATATGGATTGTAGACATCAGAACCAATATTGCCAATGACCAATGTTGGCAAGAAACAAGATCCCTTGGAGGGTGTAAAATAATGGGAACAATAGAAATTGGAGAGGAAAAAACAAAGGTTAAGGATCTCTGATAGGAATCCCAGTACTCAATAATAGGTTGCAAATGGAAGACAAAGGCCCTACTGACCCTGAGCCTATAGGACAGTCACTGCCAAGACTGATAATGCTAAAGTCTACAAGCAGTGAAAGGTCAGATGTGAAGAGGAATGGGAAGTGGTGACAGAGAGGGAAAAGGAGGCAGGAGACAGAGATATACAGAAAGGAGCAAAGGAGAGATGGTAAACTGGTGAGGATAAGGCATAACATTGAGATATGACACCAGAGATACAAGCATACCAGTAAAATCATACAGGTAGATGAAAGGAGCCAAAAGAAGGAATACGAGATATAAGAGAAGTAAAAGCAATTGAATAATAAGGGTATCATGCCACAACCAACTCTAGCTAAAGATAAACCAAATAAAATGTGAAAATGCTGAGGAAGATAAAAACACCACTATAGAAAAGATAAGTATATGAAAATCCATTGAAAACCCCACAGGGGAATGGTGGATTACTATGGAAAGAAGGTTAAAGAAGGATAAATAAAAGTAAAGGGTAGTGTGTGTAAGATGATGGTAGGAAAACCTAAGTCTAAGAAAGATGCACAAAAGACAGAGGATTTGACCCTCAAATCAGAAGAAAAGACCCCAAAGCTTAGAAGTCAAAGAAAAGTAATACAGCACAATGCCATACCAAGGCATATAAGGTAACAAAGGAATAAGAATGAGGCATGTAAGCTCTAAAGCAGTAGCAAAAATAACTGAATGTGTAAAAACATACCTGAGATACCTAGTCATGAAATCACAAAAATGGCTGAGGTAGAATCAAAGTAATAAGTATAAGATGAGACAAAGATAGATGGGAAAAACTGGCAAAATGACTTTCATAATGAATGAGAGACATAGGCAGCAGTATGTCAATACCAAAGAAGGTTCAGGCCAAATGAAAAGCTCTACCACCCACTGCACAAAAGGCTAGCACAAACAAAGTCATATTGTTTCACACCAAAGGGGAAGTTATTGACACTTGGGAAACAATGTCTTTGTAAATACTTCAACTGAAAAACATCTAAATATGAAAAGTTTCTAATAAAAAAAAAGAGGAAGTCAGCAGTACTAGGAGAGTGTGTTGCACTCCTATTGGAACTACAATGCAGCTATACCATGCGATGTTAAGTGGGAGCCTCAAGGCTAGTGGTATTAGTTATTATGCAAACAGAAGCAAGGTATCATATCGGAATTAGAATAGTGCTACTCTACCTGGACTGAAATATGTCATTAGTTTGGGAAGTATATACTGTTTGGTTGTTAAACGAAAGACATACCTAAATTATCCAAAATTCATATTTCTTTAATTAAAACTAGTATTTTGCATAAAAGGTTCTCAATAATGAAAAAAAAAAATTCAAATAATTTTGATATTACAGAGAAGTAACTGATTCTTATACTTTCTTAGCTTGAAAATGTGTATACAAGTTCTGGAACTGTAATTCTTGTTCATAAAAATGTGATCTTACACCACTTTTCTTAGCAAATTTGATAAACCAAAACTATTTATAAGTAAACTACAGAGATTAAAAAAATCTCAAAATAAACTAAGTGTAGAGAATACTGTTACAACAGCAGAAGTATATAAGCCTGGCAGATAAAGCCTGCGGGATGATTGATTGAAGAGATATAGATAGATACTGAAATGATTGATAATTGAGTCAAGCAAACA